TTTTTTTTTTTTTTTTTTTGCACGCTCGCGTCAGCTTTGGGGTTCTCAGGGAATGTCATCCATATAATCAAATCAACCTGGCCTAACTTATAACCAGTAACTTACAACTCCTCAGCCTGGTATCCAGTCCAATCGTGGATGGCAACACCTTTTTGCAATGTAGGCCGAACCTCATGCACACTAAATGGGAAACAAGGCACAAATAATGACCTTTGACCTCACAATAATGTTAGCCTTTGACCCCACACTGCTGCAGAGAAAGAAAGGGGAGATACTTTTTCACATTGGGCTAAGGGTAGGGGTCGAAAACGAGGCGGAGGTCACTGGAGGTCACCGGAAGTGACGGGTAGGGCTGGACTGCTACTCATATGCTGCAGCAATACCTCAGTTTCGGTAGTGTGGGGAGGGCTACCTGCGTCTTTCCCTCGATTTACGTGCAAAAACGTCAACTTTTACGTCTATATTCACTGCATTTGTTTGGCTCTTACCTCTGGGGACAAGGAAAAGCACAGTTCAGATCATATTTGAGGGGATTTAAGCTCTGGGGACCAGGTAACACTCCATATAACGTTACATGTAGGTAATGGGGACCAAATTGGTTATCAACGTTATATTTGTGTGGCTCTTACATCTGGGCTATTTTTTTAGCTCTGGGACTAGGAAAGGCAGCTAATACAGGAAACATTTGCACCGTACAAGTAATAATTGCAGGGCTGTCAGGTCTGGGGACCAGGTGAGGTACCTTACAGGTGAGTTACGTGTATTCCTTTGACTTGGGTTGACTATGGACCAGGTGAGGTACCTTACAGGTGAGTTACGTGTATTTCCTTTGACTTGGGTTGACAATCGACCAGGTGAGGCACCTTACAGGTGAGTTACGTGTATTTCCTTTGACTTGGGTTCACTACCTGGTCTTACCTTGTCTCTAGTGCCCAGAAACACACCTATGTTACCTGTACGGTACCTTACCTGGTCTTACCTGGTGTTTAGTGCCCAGAAACACACCTATGTCACCTGTACGGTACTTTACCTGGTCTTACCTGGTCTTTAGTGCCCAGAAACACACCTATGTTACCTGTACAGTACTTTACCTGGTCTTACCTGGTCTTTAGTGCCCAGAAACACACCTATGTTACCTGTGCGGTACCTTACCTGGTCTTAGTGACCCAGAAACACACCTACGTCACCTGTACGGTACTTTACCTGGTCTTACCTGATCTTTAGTGCCCAGAAACACACCTACGTCACCTGTACGGTACTTTACCTGGTAAAATTTAACTTGGATGACCTGATCTTTGAGACAATCTCTCTTCAAAATGCTACCCAGGAAAACTGCTGCCTCAGAAAGGGTATCAGGCTACTAAACTCTAGTTTTCTCCTGCATTATCTAATGTAATGTACCATTATGCCAAGGGGCAGTTAAA